TGGGCTGCTGCCGTAAAGCGGCTCGCTCGGCACGACGGAAGTACCAGCTGCGCGCCTCTCCTGGCTCCGCGAGCGCTACCGCCCCCTCTGACCAGGGACAGTCGGTTCCGGGCCGTGATCCTCCCCGCCGGGGAGACCTCCCTTCCGGGGGTCCCGGTCCCCAAGGTGGTCGCGGCTACGGCATCCTCAAGCCAGGCCGCGGGGGGAGGGGGCGGCCCGGAGGCCGTGGCGGGGTCAGCACGGGCCACCGAAAGCAGGGCCATGGAGCCCAGGGAGTCGGGGAAGGTAGGCCTGGAAGGGCCCTGGGGCCGCCCACTCCCCTCCCGTAGATCCCTGATCTGGGCGAGGCGGGTGGTACGGGCGGAGTCCTCGCAGATGAGCCAGCCTTGCAGGGAAGGACTCGCCCGCTCGCCCGCTTCTTCCTCTGCACTTGGGCGGCCGACTCCGGGCGAGTCCCGCGCAGCCTTCCGCTCCCTTCCCACGCGGCTGGCCTAGCAGCCCTCCGCCGAGCCGCCACCCGGTTGACGCTGGGTGGGTGACCTGCTCAGTGTAGTAGTGCGAAAGTGCTTCCTATTTTCCCACACCACTACTGGCGTTTGGAAGAGGCCCAGCGTGTTTTAAGGCTTTGAGGCTGGATCGGACCCCACCGGGAGCCAGGCATAGGGATCACCGAGGCAGGATGAGGGCTTGGCCCTGCCTGGATCCCCCTTCCCAAGAATCGGCTGAGAAGAATAAAACAAGGCATCTGGCATATTTCTTGCCGATTTCTGTTTCTAGCTTATCTACTTCGTGGAGTTTCTGAGTATTGCTTAGAAGCATATTTCATAATCTTGCTTCAGGCTTTGAGCAAGAGGCTGTGAATTGGAAGAAAAGGTGGGGAAAAGTGCTTGAAGGTAGAGTTAAGTGGGTTTGACAGAATTGCTAGAGCTCGGAGTCAGTGTCAGCAAAGACGAGCGTGGTCGCAGGCACTTGATTCGGAGACATTGGCAGCCTTTGGGGACCGAGATCTTTCTGCATAGTATTTGATACCAGTTCTTGAGGATTGTTTCTTCTTTGGCACAAAGGGAATCTCCTCAACAAACGTTTTCGAGTGCATACTGAGTCTCTCCTTTAAAAAAAAATTCATCATTTAATAAACATTTGTGATCCGTGATTTAACTTGATGGAGATGCTGGAAGTACAAGGATAAATATGAAATGACTACTTTCCTCCAGGAGCTTTCCCGCAGTTTTCACTTCAATAACATGGACAAGCCTGGAAGGGTTGTCCAACAGACAAAAGAAAGGATAGTGAGGTTATTTTGATGCTGTACTTTTTCCTGGAAAGACTGGGAAGGACTCTGAATTACAAAAGAAGTTACTTCTTGCTTAATCATCTCTTCTGTACTCCATCCTCTCCACGAGCTACAGTGATGCATTTTCCAGATGAAACAACCTATAAACAGTCCAAGACAATAAGGCTCAACAGAACCTAACCAGAGAAAGATTGAAGGTGAACTGCATGCCAGCCTCATGCTAAGCACTTTAGGGGATACCAAAAAAGTAAAGGAAATGGCTCACACCCTCAGGTAATATCCTGAGGTTTAGTTTAGACTGAACCTGAATTTGGACAGGGGGAGCAAAATGCAGTAGAAGGCCTATAAACAATTGGCACTGAAAATTGGAATTAGTGATTTGAGGTTGATTTCAAGGTATTCTGTTCAGTTGTAGGCTTTCTTAGCCTTTGGTGTGAGAAGAGTGAAATACAAATATTTTGGGAGATGGAGGAGAAACTTTATGTCCTTTTCAGGCCCAACCACTAATTGAAAACACTGGGGACTGGAAATTTCACCCTTGATTCTAATCGTGATTGTAAGGTGTCTCAAAAGGACACCCTTCCCAGGTACATCAGTTTTTTAACCTAGGGAATGAGAATGTTATCCAAAGATGAAATAAAGTAATTGCAAAACAAACTAGCAGTGTAAGAGGTATTGCAGATGAGTGACAATAACTAAGGCCTGGGTGGAATAGCTGTGCTATTCTAAAGTTCCATTCTGAATATGACTTTTTTCTCTCAAAGCTGGAAGACTGGGGGTCCACCTGAGGTAGTAGCTTGGTGTATTATTAGAATCTTCCTTTGATGCTATTTTGTGATATTTAGTAACTAAAAGCAGTCTTAGCCCATTGGATTAAGTGTGGGGTATCTTGCTTGCCATTGGCAGAATAATGGATAGAGGGCAAAGACCTTTCCCCATCACTCTAACCCGTTATCCTGTTTTATTTTCTTCCCAGCCCTGTCACTATATAAAATTCTCACATTTATTTGTTTGCTGACTTCACTCTCTGCTCTATCCCCAGCTAGACTAGTGGAGCAGTATCTGGCACGTAATAGGTTCTCAGTATTTTCTGAATGAATGACTCAAAATAGCATCTCTACAGGAGCCCTTTTGCTATAGGTGTGGGTGCTGTGAATAACACTGCAGTCTGACACCTCATGTGCCCTCTGGGAGACTATTGTCATTGCTGCCAAATAGGAGTATTTACCGTGTATGTATTTATTGCCTCAACATCTCTGGTTCCTAGCCACCACTGGCACCCCACCCCCCAGTTTTATTATTGCACTTATATCACAGTTGTCTGTCACCCCTTGATGGGTTTTTCTCCTTGACAAATAGAGATAGTGTCTTTTATATCTTAGGATCTCCAAGCACACAGAAACAAAGAGAATATGTTGAATGAAAAAATGAATTAAATGCCTATGAAATATTTTCTGTATAATGTGGTGGTGGGGAAAGGGGTGGTGATGGTGAAGGGGGTTATAAAATACGATGATCAGCATAGGCTTCCTGTGGACCAGGCACCACGAGGGGTATAAAGCCTTCTATAGGCTTCCTGTGGACCAGGCACCATGAGGGGTATAAAGCCTTCCTTGCTCGGGAGAGGTAGAAGAGCTTAGACTAGGTGGGCAGGAGATCGCTTGCAAGAAAGAGATGGAATGTGAGTAGGAACTTGATGAGTGAGTGGGAGGAAGTAGGCAGAGTTAGGGAATGTAAAGATTGGGTATGAAGAGGGAGGAAAGGTACAAGATACGTTGAGTGGCTGCAATTTATTTTTTTATTTTTTTAATTTTAGTTTTGGCTGCGTCGGGTGTTAGTTGCAGCACACGGAGGATCTTCATTGAGGCATGCGGGATCTTCCGTTGCGGTGCACCGGCTTCTCTCTAGTTGTGGCGTGAGGGTTTCCTCTCTCTAGTTGTGGCACGTGGGCTCCAGAGCGTGTGGGCTCTGGTTTTTGGCACACGGGCTCTCTGGTTGAGGCGCGCCAGCTCAGTAGTTGTGGCACACTATCTTAGTTGCCCCTTGGCATGTGGAATCTTAACGTGCCGACCAGGGATCGAACCTACGTCCCCTGCATTGGAAAGCGGATTCTTTACCACTGGACCACCAAGGAAGTCCCCGAGTGATTGCAATTATACTAATCTGGCTGTAGTAGAGATTCCAGGTGGGGCAGTACCTAGAGCTGAGGTTAGGAAGGTAAGTTAGGTTCAGATCCAGGGGACTTGGTGCTGGGCTGAGAACTCGGAGCTCTGCCTTATAGACAGTGGGAATCAGTAAAGTTGAACATCCAGAGATAGTCCTTGCTTTCTATGTAGGTAAGAAATTGCTCTTATTCAAGCAGATTTGTGTTTTCTTTACGTTGCAGTCATCTGAAGGCTCTTGCCATAATACTGGTTAAAAGAGAGGTGCAAGGCTTAGCGTAGTTCCTCGTTGGGAACACAGTTCTTCATTATCTAAACATTCAGCCCTGGCCATACTCTTCATCCTTGTGGCTCTCATAAAGTGATGGGTCTGTTGGCTTTCATTATGCCCACCTGTTCCCTCAGGAAGACAGGGTGGGTGGGAATGAATAGGGAACCCTGCTTGCCCTTGGTCACAAACTCTAACCTGCCCTGATCGGAACAGCTTGCCCTGTAGTCCTGGTATACGGTCATCCTGCTAGGATCTGCCCTCAGTATAATCTCGAGGGTTTTCTTTCCCCCTCCCCACATTGGCTCTCCTTAGGCTATATGTTGTGTGTACCTCTTTCCTGTCCACCCGCCTGCTCTTAGTGGAGCCCATCCTGCAGCAGGTTTTGGGAATTATAATCACATTTTGCTTTGGAAGACACTCTGAGAACAAATAGTTATTTAAAATACACATTGGCATACAATTGGCACATACACATTGGCAGTACAATTCCATGTTTTTGTTTTCTTTTTGCGGTATGCGGGCCTCTCACTGTCGTGGCCTCTCCCATTGCGGAGCACAGGCTCCGGACAAGCAGGCTTAGCGGCCATGGATCACGGGCCCAGCCTCTCCGCGGCATGTGGGATCTTCCCGGACCGGGGCACGAACCCGTGTCCCCGGCATCGGCAGGCGGACTCTCAACCACTGTGCCACCAGCGAAGCCCCCATGTTTGTTTTTAAGACTGTTCATTTATACATATTCATAGACAAAAGACTGGAAGGTTACGTACCAAATGTCAATAGTTGTTTTTCAGTAAGAAGATTGTGGGTGATCTTAAAACATCTTTTCTGCTTATTGTCTAAATTTTCTGCAGTAAACATATATTGACTCATAAGAAAAATACTCAACTTATTTTAAAATATACAAATCAATAGTGACTGATAAGAATTATCTGTATTGTTTTTCTCAAGAAGCTTCTATGTTGAAGTTAAAGTAGATATTTCATGTGCTTTAAGTTTGAGTATAAAATTACAGGCGATTTTAAACAAATGTACTAGAACTTGTTACAAATGGAAATGACTGTGTCCCCTTCAGAGTTGTCACTTTGGAAGGACTTATACTTACTCCAAGGATGCTATTTCCCAAAATGTTGTTTTTGGGGGGGGGTTCGGGGATTTCCTTTTTTTTTTTTTTTTTTTTACATATGACACGTTATATATAAACATATAGCATATTACCTTTTTTAACATATAAAGAGGTTTTTAATTCTTAGTATCCAACAGGAAAGTCATGTTTGATTTTTTTAATATCTTGATTTTTAAAAAATAAGACCAAATATATCATTTGACTTCAATTTTCTCTTTTCTGACCATTTTTTCCTTGTTTTTCGAAGACCATTTTGGATGTCCTTATATTTAGGTTTTGAAAGATTGTATTTTTGACATCTTTTCCCAGCGAGGCAGCACACATGAGGCAGAAAGCTGTCATTTTTCTGTCATTTGTCGTTTAATCTATTTCAGTGACATCAATTTTCCTCACTTCGTGAGTGTGTGTGTGTGCACATCTGTGTGTTTAATTTCATGGATGTTTTTTCCACAGTCCTCTGAGAGCATGTCCTCTATACATTTGCAGGCTCAGCGGCCATGGCTCACGGGCCCAGCCGCTCCGCGGCATGTGGGATCTTCCCGGACCGGGCCACGACCCCGTGTCCCCTGCATCGGCAGGCGGACTCTCAACTACTGCGCCACCGGGGAAGCCCCGATTATTTCTTTTATAACCGCTTTTTTCATGGCTGCAATATCTTACCTCTCTGAGGCTATTGATGATAGTTTTGTTTTTTAAAGGTTTTTTTCTCCATGCCCCACTTCCATTTCCTCAGTTCCTCCTCAACCTTGCTCACTTCCTATCTGTTTTGATCTCTATCAGACCTGTTAGAGCCTTTCCTCAGATGTCTGGTAGTCCAGTTGTTTGCTGACGCCTAACAGTGGAAAACCAGAATTGTAACTGGAAGCTCTGAGCACATGGAAGGGAGGGACTTGCCAGCTTGGAGCCTGTGTAGGGGATCTGGGCAGGCATTTGTTCCTAACAGCTTCCCCCAAATTCTTATTATTTTAACCTCACTGCGTTCACTTCCAGGCCAGAGGTTCCTGGGGCTGCCAGATCCTGAGTCTTTTGAGGATTTAGCAATGTAAATTGGGTTGTTTGTCCATTTGCCCACTGCTGGGTGAGGGTATGATTTTCTTGGATCTGCTCAGTTATTACTTTTTCATCTGCTTTTCAGTTAACAAAATTGTATTGCTATTGTCCCCTTGTTGTGTTGTCCATCCTAGAGGGTGTTTTCTTTAAACAATTTTTTAAAACATTTATTTATTTATTTATTGGCTGCATCAGGTCTTAGTTGTAGCACGCAGGATCTTTCGCTGTGGTGTGTGGGCTCTTCGTTGCGGTGCGCGGTTGTGGTGTGCAGGCTCAATAGTTGTAGCTCACGGGCTTAGCTGCTGCGCAGCATGTGGGATCTTAGCTCCCCGATCAGGGATCGACCCGGTGTCCCCTGCATTGCAAGACGGATTCTTAACCAGTGGACCACCAGGGAAGTCCTTAGAGGTTGTTTTGTGTGGAGTTTTTTTCAGGGGGAGAGTGTCTTTTTAAACTCAAGAGGAAGCAAAATTCAGTGTACGTGTTCAATCTGCCATCTTAATCCAGAACTTCCCGAAACATTTTCTGAATTTCCTCGCCCTTTTTTGGTGGAACAGAGAGAGCTCCTTTATAAGCCCCATGGAATATAGTTCTCAGCTCTAAAGCTTTGCCTATCTTGATAGCTGACCACATTCACAGACATAGTTCTCAGTGACGGTTGACTGCTTCCAGAAATCAGATACATCTTCCTAAGTGAGGATTTACCACGTTGGAGATTTTGCAAAAGAGGTGCTGTTGGTTGTTGCTGACGCGCTGGCTGAGAAGTAATGGATCCCGTGGGAAGGCTGGTGAGGAGTGTGCAGGGGCACGAGTGTGAGAGTCCGGGGCTGGCCTTCGTTATGACACTTCTGTTGCAGTGTGTGGCTGTTCCTAGAAGAACGGGTCTCATTCCCACTGTGACTTGCACCCAGGGGGTGAGAGTAATGCGGTGTAGGTCTTGTATGTAGATTGATAATGCCCCCTCCCCCAGTCTGATCTGTTCCCAGCGTAGGGGTGTCCACGTGCTTAGCTGGTGTCATTTTTCCTTGCAGGCGCCTGTGACGTTTGATGACATCACGGTGTATTTGCTTCAGGAGGAGTGGATGCTGCTGAGTCAGCAACAGAAGGAGATCTATGGTTCTGACGAGCTGGTGGCACCACTGGGTATGGGCTCCTGTTCACTTCCCCACTGCCTGAATCTAGGTCAGCATTCCCAACCATGTCTGACTGTGACATACTTGAGAATTTTCTGGAATCCGACCATTTTTTTCCAGGCATCTTTATACTGTTTATCCACTCAGTCCCATATCTGACTTAACTGCACACGGATTCTCACATCACCCTTTCTCTTTTCCACTTAAATTAGCCAAGAGAAGTGGGGAAATTGGGAGTGTCAAGGCTAGACCTGGATGCTTCAGAATATCCCAGCGTGCCAGAAGGGAAGCCCCACCTGTGGACTGTGGCACTGCAGGGTGGATTTTGTTTCCGTGCCCAGAGGACATTGGAGGTGGTGGGTGGTGGTGGAACGAGCATCAGATCTGCAGCCTGGAAATCTGGTCTCAGTCCCAGCTCTGCCACATGGTACTGACCAAGCCCATTAGCCTTTTCAAGCCTTGGTTTCTTTCTTCACAGGTTTGTCATAGAGGTTCAATGAAATAAAACAACTTGGAACTTTGTGCGCATGTAGGTAGTTTTCATCTTTTCTATTTTCTGAATGTCCTTTCTCTGCTTCTATGGGTAGCCTTCCTAGACCACGGACAGAGAGGAATGTATTTCATCGTGTGCACATGCACACATACTCTTTTCGGATTTCGATTTGATGACCATGCGCCATGCCTTTCTTTGCTTCTTTTCTTCTTGACCCCTCAGGGTTCTGGGTCAACAGTCTCAGCTCTCTGTGGATGGAGGGGTTGTGCTCTTACTGTCTACTAAAAATGGTTTGAAAACCAATGATTCTTTTAAACCAGAAGTTGCAAAGTAGCAGCTGTGGGCCAGATTTGGCCCACACCTTTTTTTCTTTCTTACTTTGATCTCTTTTCTTTGGCTTCTTTAAAATATTTAAATAAGTTGTCAATATTTCGCCATGGGGGGGTTTTCACATAGAAATATGATTTCTGGCTTCTGTTGGAAACTGGGATAGTCTGGCCATGCTGACCCTGTATTCAGCTGGCGGCCCCTCCTGGACTTGAATAGCTACCCCACACCTGGGTTCAAATCCACAGCCTCCCACCCCTGCCTGGTTTCCTCAGATTATTGTCTGGTCCCGCTCAGCATTTGAGTTTGAGCCTCTGTTCTGGACCAATAGTTTTCATACCTTTTTAGCCTGTGTGACCTGGATCCGACGTCACAGTGGATCTCTCTGTTCCTGACTCAGGACCAACTATTGCCAACCCAGAGCTGTTCTATAAATTTGAGCGAGGGCCAGAGCAGTGGCTAGCCAATGTCCAGGGCCAGAGGAGTCTCTTGAGCCTCCACCGAGGTGAGTGCGGACCTGCCCCTGGGAGGAGGGGTGCTTAGCTGGAGGGAGGGAGCAGGAAGCTGGGTCCCAAGGCTCCAGTCTCATCCTCTGCCTCTCCCTGTTCCCCACCAATTACACACGAATGCTGTTCTTCCCCCAACTGTCACCCCGTCTAAGATATACACACCTCCCCCAATGTCGTTCTCCAAACTCTCATCTCCCTTTATTTTATTTCTACCTGAGAGTAGATGTTTATGTATAATTATATATTCTAAGTTCCATGAGGGCATGACTTGGTCTTACTACTGTAGTCCCAGTACCAAGAACAATGCCTGGCACGTAGTTGCATAGTAGATAATCAGGGAATGGATGGGTGAATAAACAGATGGCTGCTAAATCCTAGGGACTGATGTTTGCTTTCCTCCTTTGGTAAGCATGTCCTGTTCAGGGATTGGCTTGCCCAGAGCCAGGCCAGATGGCCTCTGTCATTGTGTAAGGTGATGCGTTAACCCAGCCTCTGCTACAGGAGAAAAGGGAACGAGTTCCCCGATGGATCGAGCTGCGGACGTTTGCGCTCCCTCGTGATTTATCTCAGGTGGACCACAAGGAGCCCTAGACTTCACAGATGCTAATTTGTTTCGGTTTGTTTCTGCTGTGCTTGGCTCTTAACTTTGAGCCCATTGACTCTTTACTCGTAGCTTTGTGCTTCCGGGGTTGGCTACAGTTTCCTAGACTGACTGGTCCATTGGCCCGGAGCAAATACTGTTGAGTCCTTGCCCACTGGGCATCTGAACTTGTTGGTGCATAATAAATGGCTCCAGAGGAGTTAGAGTTGTCTAAGCTGCATTTCAACCAAGGAGTGCATAAAGAAACTGCTGGTTTAGCTTAAGGAAGAAAAGTCTTGGTGACGCCATGGGATTTTTCACTTCTTGGAAGGGTTGTGGTGCGGGAGAGCACTCCTGAGGGGAAGGCACTCAGAGATGGGTTGCAGCTCAAGGAAAACTCTGGGGACCAAACTGTCTGCCCGGAAGGTGGGTTGCCCTCTTGCTCTAAAGGTACGTGAGCAAAGTGCAGATGCCTATCTGGCAGGGGTACCAAGGAGGGGGATTCCTGCCAAGTGTGCCGTTGCAGTGTTTGCTTTAATTACCTTTTTAACCCTACCTTCTCTTAGTTCAGTGTTCTTATCCATAAATCAGTGTGCTCTCCTGAAGATTGTGCCACTGTTTTAGGTTGCAGAGATCAAATTACAGAGATCTCTTTTTGGCCAGGTATATCTGTCCTTTATATTAAAAAAAAAAAAACTGTTTTCTTAAAGCCCATGTGGTTTCTTCTGGGTTAGGCAAGGTGGGCCTGGGGGTTGGGGGCTGGAGAGAAGAGAACACGTGTGCAGGCTGTCACTTTGTGGGTGTGGTTCCAGCTTTCATAGTCCATGGACCTAAGCACCTCTGTGAGTTGCAGTGACTCGACCTATAGGATTTCAGAGAAAATTCCATGTGTTTCTTTTTTCTAAAGGAAAAAACAAGATGGGCTTCATGGAAGAAATGGACATGCAAAGTCCCACCAGAGAAGCTGGACTCTACCTGCCTCCTCAGCAGAAAGCCTGTCCTTCCCATTTCAGCTCAGAGGGTGGCAGCATCCAGGGAGACTGCACAGGAAGAAGCAGAAAACCGTTGAGACCCCGGTCCATCCAGAAGGTGTGGTTTGCGCAGTTCCCGTGGTTGGTCATGAATGAGGAGCGGACGGCTCTCTTTTGCTCTGCTTGCCGGGAGTACCCATCCGTCAGAGACAAACGGTCAAGGTTAATAGAAGGTTACACAGGACCATTCAAGGTGGAGACTCTCAAATACCACGCCAAGAGCAAGGCCCATGTGCTCTGTGTCAAGGCCTTGGCAGCTCGGGACCCCAGTTGGGCAGCCCGTTTCCGGAGCATCCACGATGTGTCTAGAGACATACTGGCCAGTCCGGGGCACCTCTTCACTGCAGATTATCCCATGTGTTACCCCCCAGGGCCTCTGGGGGTCTGTGATCACATGGCCCAGCTCCTGCCCAGCTCAAGAGCTGCACTGGAGGACCCTGGAGGGAGTGGAGCAATTCCTGCATTGTACCTAGACTGCATTCCTGATTTCAGGCAAAAAGAAATTGCTGATGACATCCACAGCTCCTCAGACGTTAACGTTTTGTGTAATGACTCAGCTGAGCCCCGTGGCCAGGTAATATGTTTATAATGATTGCTCAAGGGGGAGGATTCTGTATAATGTGACCATAAGCTGACATGCTCGTAATGTGCTGGGTGTTGTTTTAAGTGCTTTGCATGTATTAATTACCTCCTTTATTTATGACAACAGCCCTACTCTCATCATCTCCTTTTGGCAGATGACAAAACATAATTAGTGGACCAGAATATTCTAACTTCTGATATAAAAAGAACACCTAAATTCAGAACAGTAATCTTTATCCAGAATCCAGAACGACCACAGAACTCAAGAAATAATCCACAGCCACAAAACAGCCACAGAGCTCTTAAATAATCAATATAAACAAATTTTTTCAACATTAACTTCAAAATCATTGCAAAGTTTCTTCAGACGTGTCCTTTTGTTTAATGTTTTTAATGCTGCTATGAGGTGGGTGGAGCAAACCTAGTTAAACTCATCTTGTTGGGGAACAACTAAGACTTAGCGGGGAGTGAACGTAGCCAGAGCACAAGGGCTCTTGCGGCAGTGACCTCCCCCCAGAGCCCTTGACCGCCAGTGCAGTGCTTTCCTTCTACTCCCTGCAGCACCGGTGGGCCCTCAAAGACTCTAGTTCTCACCTCGGGTTTATTTTGTAAAATAAAATACGTTTATTTTCTAATTCTTTGGAAAATTGTCCTGCAAAGAAACTGTATTAATTGGAATCTTTGAGTAACCAGATCTGGCCCCTTTTCTCAACTCTTCCATGTAAGCAGGATTTTGCTACAAATCACTTTGAGCAACCCCTCTGGTATTCCGATGAGAAGAGCTCAGACGTCCTGTGTGCCTAACATCATACGTAAAGTTAGTAAGCTCGAATTTTTATGGAATCCAGAAAAGTGACAAAGCTCATTTCCCTTCATGTTCATGTTCCTTCTAGTTTTTAGTATTAGAAGCTAATAAACAGGTCTAACCTTTTATGATCTGAATTCCTTTAGCAGTAAAGTGTGTGTTAACCTAGTCACTGAATATGAGCATCTTTAGTTCTTTTTCACTGCTTCTTCCTTCCCATCCTGGTGGGGAACCTTAGCAGGGGCTTCTAGAGGTAGCTGGCTACCTTTGCAGTCATGGATGAGTAGAAGGTGCCCCTTGGGGCTGTAAAGGACAGGGTGCAGCCATGAGGCTCTGCAAGACCCCTGTTCCTCAGTGCATTTTCCTTTCCTTCCAGGAAAGAAGAGGAAGGATCATTCCTTCCTTCTAGAATAACACTGAGGTTCATTTGGTTTTTACCTGCTAATTCTGGGCCACACACATTTGCTTCTTTGACTTTTGGTGGATAAATGAATTCCTCAGAGTGCATCGGGGCCTCTTGGCAGGCTTCCCAGGAGGAAAAGGCCTTGAGCAGGACCCCGGAAGTATCATGTTGGGTGTCTGACATCAGAGGAGTATTGAGTGACTGCTACTCTTTGTTGCAGGATCCTTCTGAAGAGGGGCTGTTTGAGGAGGTTCCCGTGGTGTTTGAGGATGTGGCGGTGTATTTCACCCGGGAGGAGTGGGGCACGCTAGACAAGCGGCAGAAGGAGCTGTACAGAGACGTGATGCGGATGAATTATGAGCTGTTGGCATCCCTGGGTAAAGATCCGTGTAGACCTTTGTTTGCCACCATCACTTGACATGGGGACCCACAAGGGCAGCAGTGGCTTGTAGTCGTGTTCCCATTTCTGCCCTCTCACTGTGCATAGGCAGAGAGTGCTCATATCTCTGCGTCTCAGAACTCTCCCTGCTTTGGGATACTGTGCTTTATCTCCTCTTCATCCACCCACCCATCATCCATCTTCCACCAAACATTATTGAGTACCTACTACGTGCTGGATGGACGTGAACGAGTCACGGTCTCTGCTTTCAAGGGGCTGGCAGGTTTGTGGGAGAGACAGACACTATAATAAGAAACTATGCAATAACACCAGCTCCATTAGAGATTCAGGAAAAGTGTCCTGGGGCTGCTGAAAAGAGTGCCTTAATTTGGCCAGGCATCCGAGGGAGGGATAAGGACTGTCTTTACAGAGTATGAAATATTTTAACTGAGTTGAAAACCAGGTGCACAGGGACGGGCATCTAGACGTGTCAGAGGTGGGGACAGCGTGAGCAAAGGCAGGGAGGCGAGAAAGGGCCTGCGGGAGGATTCCTGGATTCCGCCCTCTACTTTGTGCCAGGGCTGCTTCATCAGGGGTCAGCATGGTGGGCGGTCTCGGCCTGGGCGTCACTAGGTTATAGGCACTGGAGAATGAAGAACAGCATGTGCTGTTCGTTACTTTCCCAGAAGAGGCTCCTCTGCTGCATCTGCTTCTTGTTCTTGCCTTTGCCTCCTTTTTCCATCAGACACCCAGGATTTTCATGTGGCACCAAAAAGACAACTTTTCATCTTATACAGCTGTTATTTATTTATTTTTTTTTACTAGCATATATTGTAACAGAAACCTTGCAGAACAGGCTGCTGTACATAACTTAGGAATTCCGACAGCGACCTGTATCGTGACTTCTACGGAATAGGAAATTGGGGTATTTGTGGCTTACCTGATGTCATATCCCCAGCTTACACGCTGCCCTTTCATGTGCAGCTGAGATACGGGTTATTTTCTGAACATACTTGACCTATATACTACTTGTTTTTATCACTGTTCACAATTCTTAAATGGCTCCCCAAACATTCAGAAAGGCTGTGAAAAATTGTTTCTTTTATGAGGAGAGAGGTGCTGTAATCGTGTTCTGGGCCAGGACACTTGTACCAAGTGCACCTTTGAAGAGCATCACTACCACTGACAGCGTTTAAAAGAGAGAGAGGGGCTTCCCTGGCGGTCCAGTGGTTAAGACTCCACACTTCCAATCCAGGGGGCCCGGCTTTGATCCCTGGTTGGGGAACTAGGATCACTCATGCCATGAGGCACGGCCAAAAGTAAATAAATAAATAAAAATAAAAATAGAGAGCGAGAGGGAAATTCATTTTTAAGAAATACATACCCACTTATAAGAAGCTGGTTTTCCTTTGAAGGAGTGAGCAGCAGTGATGCCCTTTGCCCTTTGGACCCCTGTGGAAAGTCATGGGGAAAGTGGTGGGTGACCAGTGGTGTAACAGTGTGTCTCCCACAACCTGGGCCTGACTTGGATTGTTCAGCCAGACAGTAGCATTTTCTTTTTAACTTCTGTATGTTAAGAAGTGGGGAAATCTTAACGAACTGGGGAAATTAAGGGGCAGTTCAGCCTCAGTTAAGTGTTGTTTGGATGAACGATAAATATAATCACGGGAGGGGTAATTAATTTTGCTTGAGGGTTAAGGGCAGGAATCAGGGAAGGCTTTATAGAGGATGAGGCTGTCCTCTTAAGTTGTCTGTGGAATTAAAATGGGTCCAGGGGTCTAGGAACGGACTTGCATGTGTGTGAGTCCTTCTCGCTACTTTAATTAGGTCTCCAGCTTTTATCCTTCAACTGTCCTCCAGTTGAGATGATTTTTCATGCTTGAGATATAAAAGCATTTTAAGGAGCCTTGAGGATATAACTGGGGCCAAACATAAATGATTTGTATGTTTAAAAATAACCTTTTAAAGGGCCTCAAGCTGATAATTGGGATGTAAAACAGTGTTGAAAAATAGTGAACCTAATTATAATTTTTGCTTTGACAAGGTTTTTTTCCTCCAATACTTTATCCTCCTGTGACAAGTATTTTAAAAATAGAAAACCTAATATTATTTGGCATTATCTTTTTTTTTTTTTTTTTTTTTTTGTGGTCCACGGGCCTCTCACCATTGTGGCCTCTCCCGTTGCGGAGCACAGGCTCAGCGGCCATGGCTCCCGGGCCCAGCCGCTCCGCGGCATGTGGGATCTTCCCGGACCGGGGCACGAGCCCGCGTCCCCTGCATCGGCAGGCGGACTCTCAACCACTGTGCCACCAGGGAAGCCCCTCCCATCCATTTTTTTTTTATATCTTTGTTTGTTTGTTTGTTTGGTTGGTTTGGTTTGGTTTTTCAATTTCCTTCCTATTTATTTATTTATTTATTTAGGCTGCGTCGGGTCTTAGTTGCGGCACGTGGGTCTTTTGTTGTGGCAGGCGAGCTCTTCGTTGCAGCACACAGGCTTCTCTCTAATTGTGGCGGCGCAAGCTCAGTAGTTGTAGCGCACAGTCTCTCTAATTGTGGCACAGGGGCTCCAGAGCATGTGGGCTCAGTAGTTGCAGTGTGTGGGCTCTCTAGTCGTGGCTGCGGGCTCCAAAGTGCGTGGGCTCCGTAGTCACGGCACGCGGGCTTTCTAGTTGTGGCGCATGGGCTCAGTAGTTACAGCTCACAGGCTCTCTAGTTGTGGTCCACGGGCTCCAGAGCACGCGGGCTCAGTAGTTGCAGTGTGTGGGCTCTCTAGTCGTGGCCGCGGGCTCCAGAGCATGTGGGCTCTCTAGTTGTGGCGTGTGGGCTCAGTAGTTGCAGCACACAGGCTCCAGAGTGCGCGGGTTCAGTTGTTGTGGTGTGTGGGCCCTCTAGTTGTGGCACGCAGGCTCTCTAGTTGTGGCACATGGGCTCAGTAGTTGATGTGCGCGGGCTTAGTTGCCCTGCGGTACATGGGATCTTAGTTCCCCGACCAGGGATTGAACCCACATACCCTGCATTGGAAGGTGGCTTCTTAACCCCTGGAACACCAGGAAAGTCCACTCCCATCCATTTTTAACGTTTATTATCTTTTAATTGAAGCACTGTGATCTGCTTATATTAGATGTTACAGGAAGCCTTTATGTTTTCTTTTATTCTTATGTCTGGAAATAATAATAGGCGCTTTTGCTGTTGACTGAACACCTACCAAAGGCTATGTTGAGTGTCTTGCGTATCTGCTCTCTAATCCTTAAACCAAACCTGTAAAGCAGGTAGTGGTAGTATTTTCAGGTGAGAAAACAGCCCAATGGCTTTGGGAATCCCACCCATTTAGCTGGAAAATGGCTAAACTGAAATTCTTACTATTCCACACATTGCATGTGCATTAGACTTGGCTAAAATTCCTGCTTCATGTATGTTTATTACCAGTTGGACTCCAGTTCTTTTAGTTTCAAGATTTGTGCTAATCATTGTTAATATTAAAATAACAATAGCACCAAGGATAACATAAGATTATTTAAAAATTCCAGCAGTATTAGAATTTTTTAGAAGTCTCCACTCCTGTCCCCAGTCCCCCTAGCACGAGGGTTCGTAGTTTGGTCTGGCTGATGTCTCAGGCCTTCTCTGTAGGTCACCGTTAGTGCTCTTGCCTCTGCCTCCGTGAGAACTGAGGTGCAGAAAGGGGCTGATGCCCTAGGGTGAGAGGCTGTGGTTGCTTCAGCCCAGCTCAGGTCAGGTCATGGGTCTTTGTGGTCTGGTGTTCATCACGCTACATTGCAGCACATTCATGCCGTTGATTTCCTTTTGCTCTTATCATTTGAGGAAACCCAGCTAATTCTCCCGTTGCTCTTATTAGGATTTACAACTAGTAGATTTGTTCTTTTAGGTTTTATAATTTTTGTGCCTGTTTTTAAAAAGACAGTCTCAATTTGATGCAGTCAAATTTAATATTAATTTGTCGGTTGTGTGGCAGTTAAATTGCATTGACTAAAGCTTTTCAACTGATGGTAGTTTCCAGGTTAGGTCCACTTACCTGTCAACAGCCTCCTTGGCCTCACCAGCTCTCTTATCACTAGGACTGAACTTGCAGAGGACAGTCATTTTGATTATGGAGAAAAGAAGAGGTTTATGTTGTTTTTAATGCTTTCCTATGTCAACCTCTACTTTTGTGGATTTGCTTTTGCTTAGAACTATGTATCACTCTGTAGAGTTCCAACTGTTCTTTTATTTCTGTACTTTAAATTCTGGTTTCAAACTTTGGCCATATTTGGTGATGTCTCTTGCTTCCCCTGCAAAAAAAGAAAACTCAGTTATATTCCACTGTTAAGAAACTAATATTTGTCAGTAACAGAAACAGAAAAGCCAATATAGGGACTATGTGGTAACCCTCATTTTTACTAGGAAAGGTGTCATCATATGCTGAGTGGCAGGTCACTCACTTCAGGTGGGCAGTGTCTGTTCTCCATGTGAGGTCATCAACTACAGCTAGACCTCACATAGCTGGGGGAAGAAGTCATGTCACTAAGTGGAAAGCAAAACTAAGCGGGAGAGCCCTCAATGAGATGAGCAGGAGTTAGAATGGCTCATATGATGTCTAGGAGGCCAGCTGCTGTATGGTGGGCCATATACGGCCTCCAAGTGGGGGCCGTGCTGAGCTAGAGAGAGAAGAACCAAGGCAAGGTGCCAGAGTGGCCGTCTCCAAACTGATTCGTTGGCAGGCCTGCCAACCTTGGGCTGAAGTTAGCCTGGAAGGATCAGAATCTGTCTTTGTAGGCCAAGCCATTTTTATGGGCTTTTATGGAGTGTGTGTGTGTGTGTGTGTGTGTGTGTGTGTGTGTGGAGTGTGTATGGCCGTGCTATAGTTATGACTTCTTAGTCACTTTTCCATTACTAAGACATAGGAAAATCTGTTTGAAAATTCCCTTCTGTTTCACTTGTTCTGAAGAGAACAAAAAGAAAAGGTTTCTGGCAACATTTCAGCCATAGCTTCAGAGAGGTGTG